AAATGTGAGTAATGATCCAAGAGCGAGTCTCATCCGACACTATTCCGAAGATATCCCGGACGTCAGTCTGAGCGAGATTAGAATGGCTCTCCAGCACCTTAAAAACGGTAAGGCCCCAGGCGAGGATGGAATTACAGCGGAGCTTCTGAAAGCGGGTGGAAGACCGGTACTTGAAGTCCTTCAGAAGCTCTTTAATTCCGTCCTCCATGGTGGCATTACACCGGAGGCGTGGAGCAGAAGTGCGGTGGTCTTGTTCTTTAAGAAAGGTGACAACGCTCTCTTGAAGAACTACAGACCGATTTCCCTTCTGAGCCGCGTCTACGTGCTGTTTTCGAGAGTCATTACGAATCGTCTCGCGCGCAGACTTGACGACTTCTAGCCTCCCGAACAAGCCGGTTTCCGAAAGGGCTTTAGCACCATAGACCACATACATACCCTTCGGCAAATTGTACAGAAGTCCGAAGAGTACAATTTGCCACTATGTCTGGCGTATGTGGACTATGAGAAAGCCTTTGATTCCGTCGAAATTTGGGCGGTGCTGCAGTCCCTTCAGCGGTGTCAAGTTGACTGTCGGTATATCGAAGTGTTGAAGTGCTTGTACAGTAGTAGTAGGGAATGCATATTCCTCCAAAACCCAATATACGGTGTTAATGGGAGACTTCAATGCAAAACTAGGCACAAGAGAGAACGGTGAGCTGAAAGTAGGGAAATTTGGAATAGGGCAACGGAACCCAAGGGGCCAGCAGCTGGCCGACTTCATGGAGAAAGAGGGACTCTTTATGATGAACTCTTTCTTCCAGAAGCGGCCCCACAGGAAGTGGACCTGGTCGAGCCCCGACGGTTCGACAAAAAATGAGATTGACTTCATTATGACGACCAGACGACAACTGTTCAGTGATGTCTCCGTGATCGCGAGGGTGAAAACTGGTAGCGATCACCGAATGGTTAGAGGCACACTGAACCTAAACGTTAAGTTGGAGAGGTCTCGTCTAATGAAGTCAACGCTCCGTCCCCCTCGTGCTCTGTTCCAAAGTCCCGAAACCTTTCAGCTCGAGTTACAAAACCGTTTTCAGTGCCTAGAAGACTGCAATGAAGTGGACGATATGAATGACAAGCTCGTGGAAACTGTCCATGCGGTCGGAGCTAAGTTCTGCAAGACCCGCCGCAGAAGAACACAAAAACTCTCCGATCACACTCTTAATCTCATGGCTGTTAGACGGGAGATGAAGCTACATTCTTCAACAGACTTGACAGCATACAGGCATCTGAACAGACAGATCTCCAAATGCATGCGGCGGGACTTACGCAACTTCAATACAGCTCGTATTGAAGAAGCGATCGAGCGGAACCAAGGCTCCAAAGTCTTTGCCAGAGATCTGTCTGGCAGAAAGAGCCACCTGTCAAAGCTGAAGACAGAGTGTGGCAGCATCGTTTCCGGGACACCTGAGATTTTGAGTGAGATTGAGAGGTTCTATGGGCAGCTGTACACGTCATCGTTGGAGCCACACGCAAATGTGAGTAATGATCCAAGAGCGCGAGTCTCATCCGACACTATTCCGAAGATATCCCGGACGTCAGTCTGAGCGAGATTAGAATGGCTCTCCAGCACCTTAAAAACGGTAAGGCCCCAGGCGAGGATGGAATTACAGCGGAGCTTCTGAAAGCGGGTGGAAGACCGGTACTTGAAGTCCTTCAGAAGCTCTTTAATTCCGTCCTCCATGGTGGCATTACACCGGAGGCGTGGAGCAGAAGTGCGGTGGTCTTGTTCTTTAAGAAAGGTGACAACGCTCTCTTGAAGAACTACAGACCGATTTCCCTTCTGAGCCGCGTCTACGTGCTGTTTTCGAGAGTCATTACGAATCGTCTCGCGCGCAGACTTGACGACTTCTAGCCTCCCGAACAAGCCGGTTTCCGAAAGGGCTTTAGCACCATAGACCACATACATACCCTTCGGCAAATTGTACAGAAGTCCGAAGAGTACAATTTGCCACTATGTCTGGCGTATGTGGACTATGAGAAAGCCTTTGATTCCGTCGAAATTTGGGCGGTGCTGCAGTCCCTTCAGCGGTGTCAAGTTGACTGTCGGTATATCGAAGTGTTGAAGTGCTTGTACAGTAGGGCTACGATGGCTATCCGAGTACAGAACCAGAGTACGAAACCTATCCAATTGCAGAGAGGTGTAAGACAGGGTGACGTCATATCCCCGAAACTCTTCACCGCTGCATTGGAAGACGTTTTCAAGCTTCTGGACTGGAAAGGATACGGTATCAACATCAATGGCGAGTACATCACTCACCTTCGATTTGCCGACGATATAGTCCTTATGGCAGAATCGCTGGAGGACCTAAGCACTATGCTCAATGACCTCGATAGTGTTTCCCAACGGATAGCTCTTAAGATGAACATGGACAAAACAAAGATCATGTTCAATGTCCATGTCACACCTATGCCGGTAGTTGTTGGGAGCACTAAGCTCGAAGTTGTTGACGAGTATGTTTACCTGGGACAAATAGTCCGACTAGGTAAGTCCAACTTCGACCGAGAGGTCAATCGACGGATTCAACTCGGCTGGGCAGCGTTCGGGAAGCTACGACACATCTTCCCGTCAGACATACCTCAAAACCTGAAAACGAAATTGTACAACCAGTGCGTGTTGCCAGTGATGACTTATGGAACTGAGACGTGGTCCTTCACTGCTGGCCGTATGAGGAAGCTCAAGGTCGCTCAGCGAGCTATGGAGAGGGCTATGCTCGGAGTTTCTCTGCGTGATAAACTTAGGAATGAGGATATCCGCAGTAGAACCAGAGTAACCGACATAGCCCAACGGATTAGTAAGCTGAAGTGGCAGTGGGCCGGCCATATAGCTCGAAGAACCGACAACCGATGGGGAAGAAAGGTTCTCGAGTGGCAGCCTCGTACCGGTAGGCGAAGTGTAGGGCGTCCCCCCACGAGATGGAGTGACGACCTGGTAAGACATGCAGGAAGTCGATGGATGCAGGTGGCTCAGGACCGTGCTTTGTGGCATTCTTTGGGGGAGGCCTATGTTCAGCAGTGGACTTATGAAAGGCTGTAATGATGATGATGATGATGATGATCATTCAATACAAATAAGTAAGCCTCCAACTTCTAGCAGCAAAAAAGCCGATATTCTGAAATGGCTGAATGACAATAATATTGTTGCTGACATGTCCATAGAGCAGTGGTAGCTCATATGGTTAGCGCTCGCTGTAAGCTTCACAGTACTCGAGCAACCCGGGTTCGATCCCCGCCGGCACCAATGAAGTTGTTAATTGCAATTTTAAGTGCTGATTTACCACGTGCTCGGCGGTGAAGGAAAACATCGTGAGGAAACCTGCATGTCTGAGAAATAAGAAAAAGAATATTTCGAAGACATGTGAAGTTCGCCAACACGCATTGGGGCAGCGCGGCGGACATTTCCTTGCCCTAAAACCCTCTCAGAAATGAGAGGAGGCCTGTGCCCAGCAGTGGGACGGCTGCACCTTTACTTTACTTTACTTTGACATTTGACTTTGACGTTAAAAGTTGAGCTGCTGCATTTGATTGACATGGACATTAAACATAATCTTTGTTTTGTCCATGTTCATCTTAAGACCTATCCGTTGGGAGACACTATTGAGGTCATTGAGCATAGTGCTTAGGTCCTCCAACGATTCTGCCTTAAGGACTATATCGTCGGCAAATCGAAGGTGAGTGATGTACTCGCCATTGATGTTTATACCGTATCCTTTCCAGTCCAGAAGCTTGAAAACGTCTTCGGGGATAAAGTTCGGGGATATGACGTCACCCTGTCTTACACCTCTCTGCAATTGGATAGCTTTCGTACTCTGGTTCTGTACTCGGATAGCCATCGTAGCTATACTGTACAAACACTTCAACACTTCGATATACCGACAGTCAACTTGGCACCGCTGAAGGGACTGCAGCACCGCCCAAATTTCGACGGAATCAAAGGCTTTCTCATAGTCCACATACGCCAGACCTAGTGGCAAATTGTACAAACACAGCACACATACGCAAGGCAAAGTGACAGATTGTACTCTTCGGACTTCTGTACAATTTGCCGAAAGGTATGTATGTGGCCTATGGTGCTAAAGCCCTTTCGGAAACCGGCTTGTTCGGGAGGCTGGAAGTCGTCAAGTCTGCGCGCGAGACAATTCGTAATGACTCTCGAAAACAGCACGTAGACGCGGCTCAGAAGGGAAATCGGTCTGTAGTTCTTCAAGAGAGCGTTGTCACCTTTCTTGAAGAACAAGACCACCGCACTTCTGCTCCACGCCTCCGGTGTAATGCCACCATGGAGGACGGAATTAAAGAGCTTCTGAAGGACTTCAAGTACCGGTCTTCCACCCGCTTTCAGAAGCTCCGCTGTAATTCCATCCTCGCCTGGGGCCTTACCGTTTTTAAGGTGCTGGAGAGCCATTTTAATCTCGCTCAGACTGACGTCCGGGATATCTTCGGAATAGTGTCGGATGAGACTCGCTCTTGGATCGTTACTCACACTTGCGTGTGGCTCCAACGTTGACGTGTACAGCTGCCCATAGAACCTCTCAATCTCACTCAAAATCTCAGGTGTCCCGGAAACGATGCTGCCACACTCTGTCTTCAGCTTTGACAGTTGGCTCTTTCTGGCAGACAGATCTCTGGCAAAGACTTTGGAGCCTTGGTTCCGCTCGATCGCTTCTTCAATACGAGCTGTATTGAAGTTGCGTAAGTCCCGTCGCATGGATTTGGAGATCTGTCTGTTCACATGCCTGTATGCTGTCAAGTCTGTTGAAGAATGTAGCTTCATCTCCCGTCTAACAGCCATGAGATTAAGAGTATGATCAGAGAGTTTTTGTGTTCTTCTGCGGCGGGTCTTGTCGTGTGCGCGCGCGCTTGGCGTACGGCTGTATTTTTCGTAGATTCACCTAAGTCAAATACGTAATTGTGCATAAATATCTAAAAGATTGTGTTTTGCCAATATCGCATAAGAATTAATTATGGTGAAGTGTAAGAAATGCAATAAGGCTGTGTCGACGGCGAAAGATGAAACTTGTAAATGCAAAGGCTCATGTGAAGCGGTCTTCCATAAAAAGTGCGTCACGAAAGCTACCTTCAAAAATGAAAAATGTGAAGATTGTGTATCCCTGCCCGGATCGCATCCTAGTTCGCCTAGTGTTGATGGACCGGATATTGCAGTGATCCTGGCTGATATGAACAGGAAAATGGAAGTGGTGTACAAAATGGAGAAGAAGCTGAGTGAGCTGGCCGATCTGGTTGATTTTGTATCAGAAAAGTATGATAATCTGATGGAGTACCAGAAATCAACCGAAACAAAAATAAAATCCCTAGAAAACATGAATGCATACTTGGTGAAGTGCAATAAAGCACTGGAAGAACGTGTGAACGAGCTGGAAGAGAAAGATAAGGAAAAAAAGGTGGAGTTGGCTGGACTGGAAAAGAAAGAAAATGAAGATGTGGCGAAAATAATAGTCCAAATTGCTAACAAGCTCCAGATGGATGTTAGTCAGATTGAGCACGCAGAGAGGGTAGGTCGTGAAAAACCAAACGTCGACAAACCACTGCCAGTAGTTGTAACGCTGAGAACAAAAGAGGCTCGTGATAAGTGGATTGAAATTCGCAAAAAACGCTTGACAAATGGTGAAATTTATGGTACAAATAACGACACCCGTATTTATATAAATGAGAATCTCACTAGGTATAAAAGGAACCTTCTATGGGTTACTAAAAACCAGCTTAAGAAAACATATAAGTACATTTGGGTACAAGATGGAAAAATACTCATAAGAAAAAGTGATGAACAGAAAAAAATAATGTCAATAAGGAGTGAACGAGATATTGAAAAATATATAGAAAGTAATGTAAATACGGCGACTGGCTAGATGTTGTTGTTGGTACCTATATGCCTAACGCACACATAGTGCGAAGTAAACACTGTGAGCTAAACTAACATCAAATAAAAGGTGATCGTTTCGATGCAATTATTACATTAGAATGTCAATTTACTAGATTTAAAACAGTGAACTCCTGGGTGCAGAGTATATCTAGCAACAACAAATATTTACACATATTACACTTAAATATTCGGTCGATAAGAAAAAACTTTAATGAATTGAATTTTTTTGTAAAAAAATGCTCTGAAGAGTTAGGAATACTAGTTTTGACAGAGGTTAACATTAAGGAGATGGAGCTATCACTATACCACATAGAGGGGTACAATCTATTTGCAAACACGAGGGAGGCTACAAGAGGAGGGGGTGTGCTTATTTATGTCAAGGAATGTCTTATTTTTAATGCGCAAAAAACCCTGACGAGTTCACTTGAAGGACTTCATGGTAAACTCACTGTTAACAACTCAACTCTAAATATAATTGCAGTCTACAGACCACCAAAAACGAATAGGTTTTTATTCGTTGATGAAATCGAGCAGATAATTAAGAACATCCCAACGAGTGAGGAAATTATCATGTTAGGTGATGTCAACATTAACTTATTAGGAGTGAGTGAAAGCCAACTGGTGTCAAAATATAAGGACTGCATGTGTGCACTAGGCCTACAGTGCGTAATACCGATTACGGAGGAGACGCGAGAGGTTATCGTCGCGGGTGTAAGAGAAATGTCGTGTATCGATCATGTCTGGGTGCGAACAAGACAGCTGCGAGACTGCCATTCGTTTGTTATTGAGTGTTTTATGTCGGATCATCACGTGGTTGGAGTCTCGGTATCGTTACATGTGACGCAACACTACACTGACAGTGTGGACTCGGACACTCGGTATGTAATTAATAATAAGCTAGTAGCTAAGCAGATCACTGATTACGATTGGTCTCAACTGTTGCTTATTGATTGTCCGTTAAATTTGTATTGTAATTTAGAAAATGTTTTCAATGATATTTATAAAAATAGTAAGACTGTAATGCCAAAGATTAAAAAACGGGATACACAACCGTGGATAGACAGAGATTTGAATAAAATGTTAATGCGTAGGGATAGGTTATTTAGGGATTGGAAAGAAACACCAAACAATAATACAAAAAGACTAGAATACACACGATTTAGAAATAAGGTTAATAAATTAATATTTAAAGCGAAAAATAGGTATCGGCAGGAAGAAATCAAGAAGTGTAATGGAGACCCAAAAAAAATCTGGGACAAAATTAATACCTGGACAGGTAGGAAAAAAGCAAAGATAGATGATATTGTTAAAAGATACTTTGGAAATAAAGACACGATGTACAATATATGTAGTCAATTTGCAGATACATTTACTAACGAAATTATTGCTATTAAACATAATTGTAATATTAAACTATTAGACAGAAGTAAATATGTTAGAGAATGTGATGTAACATTTCGCTTTAAGCCAGCTACCAGTGAGGCAGTGTGCAAAGTCATCGATCAGTTGAGCTGTGATAAAGCGCCAGGCAATGACTGCATTCGAGTCACAGACATAAAAATAATCAAGAATGAGATCTCACCGGTCTTATCGCACTTTGTCAACCTGTGTTTGTCTAAAGGGGAATATCCTAACCCACTCAAAAAAGCTTTAATTAGGCCCATCTACAAGCAAGGAGCGCACTCAGTGTATGCTAACTATAGACCGATTGCTATCTTATCGGTCATTAATAAAATAGTTGAGAAGATGATAGTCGGCCAGGTTAGCGAATTTTTAGAGCAAAATAGTATATTAGCGGATGCACAACATGGTTTTAGGCATGGTCGTAGCACCGTAACAGCACTATCACAGTTTTCAGAAGATATGAACAGTAGTCTCGACCAGGGGCATCAGGTCCTGGCGCTGTTCATAGACTATAAAAAAGCCTTCGATACCTTGGATCATGAGGTGCTGTTGCAGGCCATGGATGAGTGTGGAATCAGGGGCCCCACAAACAGGTGGTTCCGGAGTTATCTGAGTGGCAGAACCTTACAGACCTACATCTCTGGTGTTGCTGGTAAAGAAGTGGTGGTGCAGCTTGGTGTTCCGACTGGTTCAGTCTATGGTCCGGTTGGCTTTGTTATGCATGTCAATAGCGTCATTAATGTGGTGAAGAAATGTCGGGTGTATATGTACGCGGACGACATGTGCCTTATGTACTCCTCTAAGAATATACAAGAGATCAGGGCTGTGCTACAAGCTGACTTCGATAATATTATCCGGTGGGCTCACGATAATGGTATCATACTCAACCTTAATAAGACGAAAGTGATGCATCTGTATTCACCGCACAACTTAGTGGCAAAAAATGTCAAGAGCGTGGATATAGGTATCGTGGGTCACACGTATGAGTGTATGCACGTCAAAAATGTAAATTGTGTTTGTCAAAAGCTGGAATATGTCAGCAAATTTAAGTATCTGGGTCTGTGGGTGGACCGCAACATGAATTGGAAAACACAGGTTGACACAGTGTGTACAAAGCTTAGGGCAGTGTTGAGTAAGTTTTTTATCCTGAAGGCGCCATTGAGTAGAAAAACGCTGCGTGTCCTTTATTTTGCTCTCGCTGAGTCATTGCTAACATATGGATTGAATACGTATGGCCGTACATTTAAAACCTATCTTAACAGTATAAAATCGCTGCAAATTCGTTTTATGAAATACCTTGTTAGCCCACAAACAAAACTTGCCTGTAAAGAAAATTATGAAAAACTATTTGTTGTCTGTAAGGTGCTTCCTGTACATGAAAAGGTCAAGTACCTGTTGGTTCTAGAACAGTTCTATAAAGACGAGTTTAAAGTACAAGTGCAAAATAGGTACAATACTAGAAGCGTTAGAGAGCGTAAACTCGCGCGACCACCAGTAAAAAATTACTATGGCAAAAGAACCAACAAGTATATGACCCCTATACTTTTCAATAATATCGATTGGCTGAGAGAAGATAATACTAGAATAAGTAAACAAACACTAAAAAATAAATTAAAAACTGTTTTCCTTAATGAAGTTGTCGCAAGATGTGAAAATATTAACTGATTTGTTGTTGTTTTAATATAACTTTTGAAAATTACGTATATTAGACCTTATTATTTAGCTTTATTTTCATTAAATTGTATACTTACGTATTTGAACCAAATGTATAAAGGCAAGCGCTAATCCCGCCGACAAACTGTTACGCAGTTTGGTGGGTGTGAAAAATGTACTAAAGGTTTGGTCCAGAATAAATGATTTATTATTATTATTATTATTATTATTAGAACTTAGCTCCGACCGCATGGACAGTTTCCACGAGCTTGTCATTCATATCGTCCACTTCATTGCAGTCTTCTAGGCACTGAAAACGGTTTTGTAACTCGAGCTGAAAGGTTTCGGGACTTTGGAACAGAGCACGAGGGGGACGGAGCGTTGACTTCATTAGACGAGACCTCTCCAACTTAACGTTTAGGTTCAGTGTGCCTCTAACCATTCGGTGATCGCTACCAGTTTTCACCCTCGCGACTACGGAGACATCACTGAACAGTTGTCGTCTGGTCGTCATAATGAAGTCAATCTCATTTTTTGTCGAACCGTCGGGGCTCGACCGGGACTCGAAAAAGAGTTCATCATAAAGAGTACCTCTTTCTCCATGAAGTCGGCCTGCTGCTGTCCCCTTGGGTTCCGTCGCCCTATTCCAAATTTCCCTACTTTCAGCTCACCGTTCTCCCTTGTGCCTAGTTATGCATTGAAGTCTCTCATTAACACCGTATATTGGGTTTTGGAGGAATGCATGGCTCTAGAGATATCCTCATACATTTCCTCCACCTCCTCATCGGGGTGTGCCGAGGTTGGTGCGTAAACCTGTATGACCTTCAGCGAATACCGTTTGGTGATTCTGAGTATAAGGTACGCAACCCTCGTCGACACACTCCCGATCTTTACAACGTTGTTAACGAGAGACTTGTGGACGATAAATCCGACACCTCCTTGGGACAGATGGTCGCCTTCCCGGTGATAGAGCAAGTTGCCGGATTTGAGGATTACCGTGTCTTCCCCCTCTCTTCAGACTTCGGATAATCCTATAATATGCCAGCTCAACTTGTCTATCTCTTCTTCCAGCTCCACGATCTTCTCGTTAGTCCTCAGGGTGCGTGCGTTGTACGTTGCCAGGTCGAGTCGTCGAAGGTGGCAACCGACCTCCACCGGAGATTCTTAGCACCCCCTGCCCCGCCGTTACCATGGTCGCCACCGTAGCAGGAATAGCGGGGCCGCCGGGGACTGGGGACTTTGTGGAGGAGTGAGGAGTGTCGTCTGTCCATATCTTGCCAAGTGTATGATTAGCGTTTAGCCACGTCTCATCTAGAAATATAACATTATTCCAAACGGCAATGGACTTTGCTGATCTTAGAAAATTAAATCTGGCTAAAGCTATATCTCTACGTTCCATCAAAATCCGCCTTTTATCACATTTTTATAAGAAAAGCCAACATTTTTTTAAAACCCTCCAGAAGTTCTACTGCCGTGAAACAGTCCAGAGTCTCGTAAAGTATTTGACAATATTTATCGAGAATCGGCAATTCGTTCCTACTATAGTAGCCATAGATATGGTGTCTAATGGCGTCGTTATCAATATTGTCGATATGTGTAACTATCGATCTTCTAACTTTTTTCTTAAATGGCGATTTTAATATGTTATCTTCCATTAAATCTTTACCGTGTTTTTCCTTACTTATTCGGGAAACAGTTTTTCGACTAATACCAAGAGCTGCACTTACTCGGTTAGTCACTTGTGAAAGTGGCAACAATGGACCACCATTCTGATACTCTCTTTCAAAGTAATCTTGTAGGCGTACTACAAACTGTCGCGCTTGACTGCGAATCACTGTTCTTTTAGTGGTCTCATTTTCGGCCATAGTGTTTATAAATACAAAAAAACCAAATCAAATAACAGTCAAAACTTAATAACAACGAAAGAAT